TCCGTAATGGTTGATTGCATACGAGCAGTAAGTTGGGCGGATAAAATCGACCCAAATGTGATCAAGTCCGCGGCTCATTGTGGGCTTCGTAGCTCAATGGCAAAGCGTTTGGTTGCGCAAAAGCCTTCCCTGCCATGTGAGTTCAACCCCCACCGAGGCCGCGAATTTTTAACAGTTGGGTCAACTGAATTAAGCAAATCTACCAACCCCCCTAACAATTACACTGTTACTGAACGACCTTCTCGAAAGCATTGTTGATGACCCTTGCCAGAAATCTCATTTTTTCCGTCGACGAAAATGAAACGCCAGACTGTTAAATTAATTCATCCTTTGAGGGTCTGTCGATGCAGAATACGAGCTTAGCCTTGACTACTATCTCAACTATACACCTTCAACTTTGCCTCCTTTAGGGCTGTGGGGATGCGTTTTACCTGGTCATAAAGGACTCTTGGCTCTACCTTGGCATTGTCATCCTCATAATAGCCATTCTGGAAGTGGGTGCGATCGCTTCCGCGTGCATTCTGCAGTCAAAAATAACCACCTACGAATCAGTATAGAAAAAGACGCCTCTTCAGTGTACTTCATCTTGCTGTTGTCGTTGTCAACATCATCATCATCATCATCATCATCATCATCATCAAATAACCGGCTGAACACTGAAAATTTTACAATCACTCGACCCTTTTCCTATGCTTTGCATCTGTCACCCCTTCTCCGGCACCACCACCCATTTAAACTCCAGATCCCCCCTCCCCCTACGTGACTGTAATTTATCGCCGCGTTTGGCAGTTTTAAATTCATCCATTTTATGAAGTTTGTTCGTCCGCAATAAAAAAAATTGTCATCGTGTCTATATTTACTGTTTTGGTGAAGAAATTAGGCAATGTGGCCGAAATGTTCCAGCGCAGGCACATGAATCCTGACTACTAATGTAGGTTTAGGGTTCTACAGTCGTCTTTTTTGTGGTCGATCTAGTCGTCACTGCCGAAAGGGATGTCGGCCCCGTGAGACTTCGGTCAGGTTAGTGGACTCGCCAGTCGAGATCTTCGACTATTCGGTGTTACAATTATCCGGGTAATATCGTCTACTTACGCCTTGTTTGAGTCCCCGAGGAAGAACACAACAAGAAGAGCGCGAAAATGAAGTTTTTAGCGTACTTGGTACAACATACTTCAGGTAAACAAACGTGTACAGCCATGTCCATCGGACCAGTCAGAGCGAATAGCGAATCGATTGGCTTGTAAGTCAACGGCTGGCTTGCCAGAGTCCTAGCCTGGCCGCAGTTTTAAGTTATTTCTTGATTGCCAGTTTACGTTCGCCGTGTGTAGGTAGATCGATAGTCTGGCGTGAGCGCGATTCGCCACCTACCTGCAGGCTGCCTGCTCGCGTGTCTGTTAGGGTGGCTCTTAACACTTCCCCCCCCTTGAGCGAATTGCAAGATTTGAGCTGCGGGTCCACCTGCAACGGAACACCCATCCACAATCCACATTTGGCGGTAGTGATCAAGGCTAGACCCCAAATTAAACAAACCCAGGGCTACAGAGACAGTGGATGCTTTGGACTGTTTCATGGCGTCGAACGGTCAATAAGTGAGAACTTGTTTTAACAAGTGAAGAAAGTGAGGTATCAGGCGGATAGTATTGCCGGCAGAGACAAGTGAGACTGGAATGGCCATTTCTGGCTTATTAGCCGTCGTCAGCCAGTCATACCCAGGCCCAAGTCGTGCACCACCCGAGGTTCGAAATGGCGACCTTTTCGATCAGAGCATAACGCTCTAACAATGACGCCGCGAGCTCGTTGTCTTGCACTGTTATAACCTTGTGTGTTCCCATGTCAACACTG